TATGGGCCTTGAAAAAATATTCTTTTAGAAATCCACGCCTTCTATGGGCCTTGAAATTTTTTGAGAAATCCACACCTTCTATAGGCCTTGAAAAATTATTCTTTTAGAAATCCACGCCTTCTATAGGCCTTGAAAAATTATTCTTTTAGAAATCCACACCTTCTATAGGCCTTGAAAAATATTCTTTTAAAAATCCATGCACTTCTATAGGCCTTGAAAATTATTCTTTTAGAAATCCACTATGGGCCTTGAAAAATTATTCTTTTAAAAAAACACTTCTTTCATAGGCCTTGAAAAAATATTCTTTTAAAAATCCATGCCTTCTATAGGCCTTGAAAAATTATTCTTTTAGAAATTCATGCCTTGTATAGGGCTTGAAAAATTATTCTATCAGACCTTCAATAGGCCTTAAAAATATTTGTTTAAAAAATTTAATCCTCCCCCTGTAATTAAATTGGGTTAATATGTCATTTAAAACCTACTCTTTTGTGGCCTTCAAAAAGTAGGTCATTAAATTGTATAATGGGAGGGTGTGTGTGTGTTTTTCCTGTCCTATCCATATGTGAAATCTGACCATCCAAATAAATACCTGGCCTGACAGAAAGGCCAGAAAATATACCCATTAAATCAGTGTCTTCCATAAACCATTCCCATTGGAGCAATTAATCTAGACCAAGTGTCTACACATACATGACATCTAGTGGGTGTGGGTATATGTGTATGTGTCGTGACACGTGTGTTTGGTGTAACCGTCAATTTTACTGCTGTATTTGTTGTTGGTTTGTTCTGTTTGTTGTTGTTGTCGTAGATTTACTCAAAATCCCCCCATATGATTGCTGTAATTAATGTTGGCACATTAAAAATGTCCTTCGTCCAGATCTACAGGAAATCCCTTGGAGCTGTGCTTAGCTGGTGAATAAGTGCCTACAAATGTGGTTAGTTAACAAAACTAAATGTCCGCCTAAGTGATTAATTAGTTGGGAAATCTAAAATAAAACAAAACCAACAACAAAACTAAAATTTACACAAAGGCAAGAGGGTGGGGAAGTGGAGAAGTTGGCCGTAGGAGGGCCTAAAATATTTTGTTGGCAACATGTTTTTCGGGGGATTTTTTTGCTTTACAAATTTTTCCTTTGCTAGTCATTTGAGGTGGTGTGAGGGATGGGTTGGGGAATGGTGGGAATTTTTTGGCTGTGCTTCTCGCTACGTGTTATGGTTCCGGTGTAATGCCTAGATAACGAAGCCCCCGGTGTTTGTCGAGTGTGAAATACCACTTGCTGTGTATGTGTGTGCAGAGCCCAGGTAGTATTTTCCGGTGTCACATGTGAATTTCCTTCGTTACATTTATTATTATTTTCCTTTGTGTTATTTTCGTTGCGACAACTCGTGTAGAGCATACGAATCGTGGTATTCTATTTTTATATGTCTCACATATCCTTGATATGTTATTATATAATAACAATAATAATTTTTGTGGGTAATTTTTGGGGAAAAATATTATAGCATTTTGAGGTTATGTGAAATAGACATAATTCTCACGAGTTTAAATGGAGAGAAAATCCCAAAGGAAAATATTTTCTTTAAATAAAGAAAAAAATAATTTCAATAATGAGGAGAATAGAGACTAAAGGCCCACATTTAAAAAGATATGATACCAGAGCACATTAAAAATAAAGGTGTTAGATGGTGTGGCGTATACGTTGGGACACTACTTATACGCCTCATGGTACCTTAGTTTTTTTTATAATGGAAACAATTGTATCAATATCTAGGCTGTTGTTTCTTTTTATTTCATTCTCTCTCTTCTAACAAATAAAGAACACCATAATTATCGGGTATTATGCCAATGTTATCGCCATTATTGCTGCCCCACACAGAAGGCATTGCAAGACTGAACATCAAAGATAAATTTGTTGTTATTTCGAGAGAGATAGAGAAAAGGAAATTGCAAAAACTAGACTAAAGAAAATAAGTAGAGGTAATTTTTCATACTTAAAAAGAAGAATTCTGTTTTTATGCTGCCATGAAGAGAAGATAACAAAAGCATTTGTAAAGAAATCATTTGCTTGAAGGCGTTTAATTCAAAAGCTTTTCGTTTCATATCCATCGCCTTGAGCATTGGCATGCAATTTGAAATGAAAATCTCAAATATTTTCTGAAAAAGGGGATTTTAATTTTATTTTTTGAAGGACTAACAGAGCTGAAACCACAATTAATAATGAATTATCGTTGACTATTTAAGGATATCAGTCTTCTGAAAACATGAATTTCAATAAAGAATATTTTTAATTGTATTATGGGCGTGGATTTGTTAAACAAGGCCTCAGACAAGGCATGGTATTAAAAAAATAAATAAAATTGTTGGGTTCTTAACCCCACACAACTATGTTGTCAAGGTATTTTAGCTTTGTGCAGCCCCAAAAGTTTGTAACGCCGAAATATTGGTCCTAAGTATACCGATCGTCATATCTCGACTAGCTGAGTCGATCTAGACATGTGTGTCCGTCTGTCTGTCCATTATAATTTGCAAACACGATACAGGCCACAGTTATGAACCAATCTTGAAATATTGCATGTAGTATGGGTTCTACCCAATGAAGACCCCTATTGTTTTCGGAAAATATCGGTTAATATTTACGGGATGAAATGGACCAAAAACTTTATTTTTGTCTGATTTTCTGGTCGCTCCAGATCGCTCCAATTGTGTGGCCACAATTGAAAGCCGAACATCACAACACAAGCCACGGTGAAGGGAATCTGGACAAGTAATAAGAAAGACTATACTGAATATTAGTAATATTTGTTGACCTCTAGTCAGTCAAGAGGGTGCAAATATCACGAGATTCAAAATATAGAACCACATAAAGTGAGATTTTTTAGGAAGTTGTTTAGGGTCGGCCCTGTCCGACTATATAGCTCCGCTCACTGGTTTTTCAATGCCTCAAACAAGGCGTGGATTTTTTAAAGGATATTTTTCAAGGCCTATACGAGGCGTGGATTTTTTAAAGGATATTTTTTCAAGGCCTATACAAGGCGTGGATTTTTTAAAGGATATTTTTTCAAGGCCTATACAAGGCGTGGATTTTTTAAAGGATATTTTTTCAAGGCCTATACAAGGCGTGGATTTTTTAAAGAATATTTTTTCAAGGCCTATACAAGGCGTGGATTTTTTAAAGAATATTTTTTCAAGGCCTATACAAGGCGTGGATTTTTTAAAGGATATTTTTTCAAGGCCCACACTAGGCGTGGATTTTTTAAAGGATAGGCGTGGATAAAGGATATTTTTTCAAGGCCCACACAAGGCGTGGATTTTTTAAAGGATAGGCGTGGATAAAGGATATTTTTTCAAGGCCTATACAAGGCGTGGATATTTTAAAGGATATTTTTTCAAGGCCCACACAAGGCGTGGATTTTTTAAAGGATATTTTTTCAAGGCCTATACAAGGCGTGGATATTTTAAAGAATATTTTTTCAAGGCCTATACAAGGCGTGGATTTTTTAAAGAATATTTTTTCAAGGCCTATACAAGGCGTGGATTTTTTAAAGAATATTTTTTCAAGGCCTATACAAGACGTGGAGTTTTTAAAGAATATTTTTTCAAGGCCTATACAAGGCGTGGATTTTTTAAAGGATATTTTTTCAAGGCCTATACAAGGCTTGGATTTTTTAAAGGATATTTTTTCAAGGCCTATACAAGACGTGGATTTTTTAAAGAATATTTTTTCAAGGCCTATACAAGGCGTGGATTTTTTAAAGAATATTTTTTCAAGGCCTATACAAGGCGTGGATTTTTTAAAGGATATTTTTTCAAGGCCTATACAAGGCGTGGATTTTTTAAAGGATATTTTTTCAAGGCCTATACAAGGCGTGGATTTTTTAAAGGATATTTTTTCAAGGCCTATACAAGGCGTGGATTTTTTAAAGAATATTTTTTCAAGGCCTATACAAGGCGTGGATTTTTTAAAGGTTTCTTTTGAGAATATGCATAAAATCACTTTTTAAGTCGATTTATGTATGTCCGTCCATCCGTCCGTCTGTCCATGTTAAATTGTAAACAAAGTAGAGGTCGCATTTTTCATTCGAATTGGATGAAATTTGGCACAGCTCCTTTGTTCGGCCCAAGGATGAACCCTATTGAAATTGGGGAAAATCGGTTCAGATTTAGATATATCTCCCATATATATTTTCGTCCGATTTAATGTAAATGCTGCACCAAAGTCCCTATATATCTCTCGATTTGCACGAAAATTGGCACAGCGTAATAAATTAGGTCTAGAATGATGTTTGTTAAGTTTCCTGAAAATCGGTTCAGATTTAGATATAACTCCTATATATATTTTCCGATTTTACGTATGTGGTGCACCAATGTCCCTATATATCCTTCGATTTGCACGAAATTTGGCATAGCGTACTGAATTGAGTCTAGAATGATGTGTGGTAAGTTTTGGAAAAATCGGTGGAGATTCAAGTATAACTCCTATATATATCTACGTCCGATTTAATGTAAATGCTGCACCAAAGTCCCTATATGTCTCTCGATTTGCACTAAATTTAGCACAGCGTACTGAATTGAGTCTAGAATGATGTGTGGTAAGTTTCGGAAAGATCGGTTCAGATTACGTTATAGCCTCCATATATATTTTTGTCCGATTTTATGTAAATGGTGCACGGAAGTCTCTATATATCCTTCGATTTGCACGAAATTTGGCACAGCGCACTTAATCGGGCCTAGAATGGTGTGTGCTAAGATTCGTGAAAATCGGTTCAGCTTTAGATATAGCTCTCATAACTATGTTCTTCCGATTTTATATAAGTAGCACACCAAAGTATATCTCCTCTACGGCCTTTTTGTAGATTTTTGATTTCTAAATCCTTTTATGACACACAATCAACACTTCTTCCGATTACCTAGTTTCATGTTTAGTGTTCCTTTATATCCCATAATCCCCTTGAAAACATCTACCTCATACGTAAATGCATACAAATCTCTTTTCACTTACCGTTTTATTGCCCAAATTCTTGACACGGCAATTCAAGTAGGCCGTTTTTCCCAGCAAAGCGGTGACATTCTTTGAAGCTGCCTTATCAAAATACGGACCATTCTGCACCATTTCTGGCTGTTCGATGGCATTGCGATTAATCGCCGATGAGTGTGATGACTGGGATTTATAGGCAGTGGTGGAGCCACTGCTGCCACCACCACCACTGCTGCTTAGTGTGTGGTTGGCTATGCTGGTTTGGGTTGTACTGGTGGTGCTGGTTGTGGCATAACCGCCACTACCAGACACCCAACCGTGACCTGATGACGAGGATGATGACGACGTTGTGCTGTGTGTGCCGCTGCCACTGTTTGCATTGGAATTTCCGTTGCTAATATTATTGGTATTACCATGGCCGGGGGTATTTCCGCCACTGCCACCGGCACCATTGAAACCTCCGCTGTTAGCGCCGTTACTGTTACTGCTGCTACTGCTGATTTCATTTAAAATCGCATTCGCATTGTTGTTGATAGTATTTGGATCCTTGGGCTTAAACGACTCCCTTTGAGCGGCCAAAGCTGTGTGTGTGTGAGAATACAAAAAAGAAAGAGACAAAAGAAAACAATTTATTTCACAAATACCACTGCAGAGCAGAACAGACACACAAAAGCAGAGGAACTTTAAAAGCGTATAAAATACCGACAGTAAAAAAGTACTGTCAAATGACAAAAGCTGTGCTTTAAAGAATAAACAGAAATAAAAACAAAAACAGAAAACACAACAAAAGCTTTGTAACAAACAATGCCAATGCAAATTCCTTTAGACCATCCCTGTCATGGTTCAATGCTATTTACATTTATTTATTTATTCATGTCATTGTTTTTATTTTTATTTTATTGTCGTCGTTGTTGTTGTTGTTGTTGCTACAGCTTTTATTGTATGTTACTTTTTATTGTTATTGACAATATTGTTGCTGTTCTTGTTGTTGTTAACATTGTTTGGTCCTCACTCATGTTCCATTACCAATTTTACTGACACTTATTTGCAATATCCTCTTTAACAGGATAACAATAAATAAGGCCTATGAATGATTTCCCCAAAGGCACATATGTGTAAGTGTGTACGCCAGTGAATGGCTGTGTGTGTGTGTGTGTGAAATTTAAATACACACAGAACATTGTATTATTGGATCACTTATCCAATACTTGTTCGAAGTTGTTTGATAAGGTACATCGATAGGTATACGTAGTGGCATTATGTATACGCACCCATGGAGTAGGTCAACAAATATTTAAACTTTTCTAAACCATGATTTTTTGAAAATAGTAGCACAAAACAGAGTGTTTTTTTCGGGAACAAAAAGAGCTTTTCAAGAGGGCTTTTCAAAGAATATATTTTCAGGCTCAGAAACAGACGTGTTCTTTAAGGAATATTGTTTAGAGAATCAAGCAGGCGTCCAAACAAGAAGAGGATTTTTAAAAAATATTTTTTCAGAATCCAAACAAGGCGTGGATTTTTAGCTAATATTTTTTCAGGGCCCAAACAGGGCGTACCATCATAAAGAAGGCGTGAATTTTTAAAGAAATTTTTTCCGGGCCAAAAACAGGCGTGGATTTTTAAAGAATATTTTTCATAGTCCAAAACAGGCGTGGTTCCGAAAAAGGCGTGGATTTTTAAATAATAAATTTCAGAGTCCATAATAGGCGTGGCTCCGAAAAAGGTCTATTATAGGCGTGGATTTTTAAAGAATATTTTTCAGAGTCCAAAGCATGTGTCTCTCCGAAAAAGGTCTATTATAGGCGTAGATTTTTAAAGAATATGTTTAAGGTATATTATAGGCGTGAATTTTTTAAAGAATATTTTTAGAGGTATTATAGGTCTTAATTTTTTAAAGAATTTTTTTTTTCAAAGCCCAAAACAGGATATTTTTATACCTTACACAACTATGTTGTCAGCCCCAAGAGTTTGTAACGCAGCGAAATATTGGTCCTAGACCCACCTTTATGTATACCGAGCGTCATATCTCGACTATCTAAGTCGATCTAGACATGTGTGTCCGTCCGTCTGTCTGTCCATTATACACGCCACAATTATGGACCAATCTTCACGAACTTTTGCATGTAGGATGGGTTCTGGCCAATGAACCCCCTATTGTTTTTGGTAAATATCAGTTAAAATTTAGGGGATGAAATGAACCAAATACTGTCGGGTTTTCTGGTCGCTCCAGAGGCCGCAATTATGGCCCAAACGTTGCGAATTTTACATGGAGAAGGGCATCGGGCCAAAGAATAAGCATGCCTGTTTTGATAGAAATCGGTCAATATTTAGTGGGTTAAATTGACCCTGACTTTTGTGTGAAAAATTACAAATTTTGTATTCTATAGCGTATAGATTTACTCCTGAAGGACATATACCCGAGAAGTTGATAGTATATCCTGGAGGAGTGGTTGACCTTTAAATTGATACCAATTATATTGTCGTATGTACACGGATGTGGAAGTTACATTTAAATATTTACAGGCGCTTACGTATTCAGATATTATCTAGTAACCCATTACCACACTCGAGGGCGGAAATATAGCTCTGATCGCTTTGAAATTTTCCCTCTTCTAAGGCCTTCAAACAATATTCTTGAAAAACTCTTCGGCCTCTTCTAAGGCCTTCAAAAAATATTCTTTAAAAAATCTTCACCCTCTTCTAAGGCCTTCAAACAATATTCTTTAAAAAATCTTCGCCCTCTTCTAAGGCCTTCAAACATTATTCTTTAAAAAATCCACGCCTTGTCTGAGGCCTTGAAAAATATTATTTAAAAAATCCACGCCTTGTCTGAGGCCTTGAAAAAAAATATTCTTTAAAAAATCCACGCCTTATCTGAGGCGTTGAAAAAAATATTCTTTAAAAAATCCACGCCTTGTCTAAGGCCTTGAAAAAAAATATTCTTTAAAAAATCTACGCCTTATCTGAGGCTTTGAGAAAATATTCTTTAAAAATCTACGCCTTATCTGCGGCCTTGAGAAAACATTCTTTAAAAAATCTACGCATTATCTGAGCCCTTGAGAAAACATTCTTTAAAAAATCTACGGCTTATCTGAGGCCTTAAGAAAATATTCTTTAAAAAATCTTCACCCTCTTCTATGGCCTTACAAAAATATTCTTTAATAAATCTTCACCCTCTTCTATGGCTTTCAAAAAATATTCTTTAAAAAATCTTCACCCTCTTCTAAGACCTTCAAAAAAAATTCTATAAAAAATCTTCGCCCTCTTCTAAGGCCTTAAAAAAATATTCTTTAAAAAATCTACGCCTTATCTGAGGCCTTGAGAAAATATTCTTTAACAAATCTACGCCTTATCTGAGGCCTTGAGTAATATTCTTTAGAAATCCACGCCTTGTCTGAGGCCTTGAGTAATATACTTTAGAAAACCTTGAGTAATATTCTTTAGAAATCCACGCCTTGTCTTAGGCCTTGAAAAATATTCTTTAAAAAATCCACGCCTTGTCTGAGGCCTTGAAAAAAATATTCTTTAAAAAATTATTTGAAAAAATATATATTTTTTTTATAAAAAACCCATCCGTTATCTGAGGCCTTCAAAAAATATTTTTTTCTGAGGCCTTGAAAAATACACCTTGCTAAATATCTGTTCTCTCTTAAGCTTAAATAACCTTTCCCTTCCGATAATAAATACAGAGGACCATTGGTGCGTATGATTATGGCCAAAACGTATACGCAGCAATCAAATAAAATGCTAGACCCCCATATTCATGAATTTATTATTTCAATATGGAGAAAAATTAATTAAAGAAACACGTTCCTACATATTACCCTATTTCCATCCCTCCCTCCCTTACTTTGGCACTTCATTTATTTTCTTCTCTCCCCCAGAAATGCAAGAAAATAGTTATCTGCCTAAGTGATACATCAGCAATCTCAATAATAAAAAAGAAAACATGCGACATATTCATATTGAGAATAATATATTACAATATCACTCCCTCCACTCCTGCCTCTGTATGCCCCCTTCCCTCCATCTGCTGGGCATGTGAGCATAATAAATATTTCATATTTGAAATCAGAAACAATCTTCAATTATGCAAACGTTTGCAACTTTATTACAGAGGACGAACTGGTCGAGTTTGGATACGTTAGTGGCCGGCAGACGGAAGGCTTCGACAATAAATTGCCTTTGATGGCGATGATAAATGATGGAGAGAAATTACAGGGCACAACAACGAACGAAATAAACCAAGTTCACAAAAATTGGTGGTACTATCGTCATATGAAGAAGCGGAGAGCTAGGGAGAGAAGCTTTCAAAAAATGAGTATTTTTGTGTTTCTCACGTTTATCATTGGTTATGGTTTCTGTTTCCTTTTTTTGTAGCTACACCACAACAATTTTCTCGTTGTGGGGGGAAAATATTTTCATTTTTGTTCCATATTCCCAAACAAATATTCTTTGTGGGCTACCTACATATGTGGAGGTCCCCATAGCATCGTTTTCACATACGCACACATACATTCCTATTTCTGCCAAAGATGACAATAAAAAACATTTCATGACATTCTTTCCAAAAAAAAGTTGGGGGAACGAGTTATGATGGTGGAGAAGAAACAAATAAAACACAAAAAGAAAAACAAATTACAAGGGATCGAGATAATAAAACAAATATTCCAAAGAAATTCAAGAAAAACCCCTGGTCATTCTAACTGTTCAGTGAAACACCCAGAAGAAAAAGGATGCAGACAAGCCAAGGATGACTTTTGTTGTGACAACAACGGATGTTTTATTGCTGTTGTTTTTGTTGCTCTGACTGGCTGTTGAGACACCAAAAGGTCCTGTTTGGGAAAATAAATACAATCTCAGAAAAAAGAAACCGACGACGAAAAAAAATTATGGATGCCTGAATAAACATGAAATACAACAACAGCAGCAAAAAAATGAAATATTGATGAAAAAGAAAGGCCGTGGCTATTTTTCAGGGTTTATTTTTGTTTTATTTCATGGAAACAAAAATCAAAAATAAAACAAAATAAAAAAATCCTTAAAAAAATTACGGAGGCGGGAAGAGAACAAGGGCTTTGAAAAATTCTATAATAAGCAACATCATTTGTTTTTTTAATTTTAAAGAATAATTTACTCAGTACCAAAAATAGCCTTGGATTTTTAAAATATAATTTTTTCAAGAACCTACATGTCGTGAAAATATAATTTTGTCAAGGACCTCAGAGGCGTGGATTTTTAAAACATAATTTTTCAAAGACCCACAAGGCATGGATTTTTATACCCTTCAGCACACTGTGGTACAGGGTACTAAGTCCTTGTGCATATGTTTGTAACAGGCAAAAGGAAAC